AAAATTGATATAATGAAAGATAAATCTGAAGAAATTCAGACTGCAACACGGAGAGACAACAAAGTGGAAAATAGAGAAGAGGTTAATAAAAGGGAAATTTTAAAGAGAAAACAGAACACCTTCAAAGGACTATCAGGTTTCAATACCTAATGGAAATAGAAGACCATCAAATGATGTACTCAGTGAAAATAAATCTAACAACTATGACCTATTGTAGTTCAAGATAGAATTCTATAGCTAGCAAAAATATCTTTCAAGAACAAGAGCTAAATAAACACATGCTCAGAGAAATAAAATCTGAAAGTTCACTAGCAGACTGCTTTTTAAGTGGAAGGAAAAGGGTCATAGAAAGTCTGAGATTCAAGAAGGAATGATGATCAAAGATAGTGGTAAATGGTTATAACTAACATTTTCTGTTTAGGGGATTCCTTCATTATTTTGGGCAACACCTCTACCTCTATATAACGTAGCATTTTATGTTTTATGCTGAAAATTCTGTGCCTTAGTTTCCTTCTCATTTAGTCTCCGTCAAGCATTTCTTCTCACACCATTGTTAATATCAACCTAAGTAAAAGTGTTTTCCTCTAACCTTTTGGGAAATGATCTAAGAATTTCAATATGGAATTTTGTTTTTCTTGTCCTAGAATAGTATATCACTGTAACATTGAACATGGTACATAGAAACCTTTGTGAGATGAGTGAGCTGCACAGCCGTGGGAAAAATGGTACTTTTTTATCTTGAGCTCTCTTCTCGAGGTACTGCCATGGCCATCATACCCTGAAGCTCTAGACAAGGGTTCCAGAGTGATTGTACTGAGTTTATTTGAACTGTCCACTTTCAAAATTCTCCTTTGAGAAGAAACTCTGTTCTTTCTGAAATGTAGACAGTTTGGAGCCTTAACACAAATGTGTATTTTGCTAAATTGTCTTGTACATTTACCTACTTTTTTGGTAGCAATGTCTTAGTTTTAGAAAATTGGTTTATTAGTGGATATATTCATAACTTGGGTTATACTCATTATACACCTAAGAAATTAGAATATTTTTCAAATCCCAAGTCATATTCTCTTGACCTTAAGTGATTATTTTGAGTGACATTTATTATGTGTAACTATATGTGGTTCATTGAAGCATTGTTCTTAAAAGATTAATAAAAGGAAATGTTACTCTCTAGCCAAGATTTCCTTTTATTTCTTTGTTTTGCTTTATGAAGCAAACTTTCATACACATTATTAATGATCTGCTGCTGAATGGTTTAAATTCATTTTAAGTAGTTTCTCATAAAACTAGAATTTTCCAAATAAAATTAAATGTTTCTTGATTTTTGGTATGAAATATATAGACCTTTCTATTGTAATATTACATATTATATATTTTTGAAAATACTAAAATTATGCACAGCTGATGGGACACCTCGTCCAAAACATACGATGCTAACAAAAATAAATCTTAATAAGAATGCTAGAGTATTTTAAAAGATATATTAAATTTTTTTAATATATAAATAAAAAAACAGTCATTTTAGGATGAAAAGAAAAAGGTGGAAGTATCTTGATGGAAGTGTGTGTAAGAAAGGGTTGCAGATACAGGAGTATGCAGGCCAGAGTAAAATGCATAAAGATTTTTGAGAGAAGAGCTCATTAAGCACTTCCAGGAAAATGCATATGGCCAAACTGTGCTAAGAAGAGGAACATAGATTGAATGAGAATTGTGTACAGTACTGTATTTTCAGCAGCTCGCTGGTTTCTACTGTGTTAGTCTATTTCGGGTTCAGCTGTTGTTATTTAGTAGTACGAAAACACAGACTGAGAAAAATCATGTACAGACCAGTATGATTTTCACATTATACTAAATTGTTCCCCTATTTATCAGTGAGCTAATTTCATGTAACAGAAAAACTGGGTAACAGAATAGGCTGTACTAAGACTATAAGAAGTAGCTTCTGTTTTTGACTTGAGGCCTTTGATAAGTTTGTGACCTTTTTGTGATTTGATTTTTTGTGAAATGGAAATACTGTAACTAACTTAATCTACCACAACCTTTCCCCTTTGAGTTTATTTTAATTTTAAACTACAAAAATAATAAACACATTAAAGAAATACTGGAAAGTAGAAGGACAAAGGAAAAAAATTAACAAGTTACTAATATAAACCACTGTAACTATGGCCATGCCATCCTGAACATGCCCAACCCCATCCGATCTTGGAAGTTAAGCAGGGTTGGGCCTGGTTTATACTTGGATAGGAGACCACCTAGGAAGACTAGGTGCTGTAGGTGTAAAAAAAAACTAAAATAAAATAAACCACTGTTAATTTTTGTGTATTTTCTACTTTTATACCAGTTTTTAATAAACTTTTGTTTATTTCACAGTCTTCAAGACAGTCATCTTTAATGACCACTACATATTTAGTTTACTTAACAATTTTTATGTAAGTCATGTATTTTTCATAATTCTTGGATGAACATCTTTGTGTGTGGCGGGGTGTGTGTTGTGTAAAAGAGGGAGAAAATGAGGTGAGAAAATCTTTTTCCCTATATACTTTACATCTTAGGATAATAAGATTTTATCCTAAACTTGTAACTCAGAGGAATAATGTATTTTCAACCATCTAAATTAGTTTCTGCTGAGAATATCTGTCAATAGTATCTGTTATAAGTAGCATTGCTAAAATATAAATTCCTTAAGAGACTGAGTGTACTTTAATGGACAAAACGAATATTGAACTCAGCCTGGTTTATAATTTTGGCTTTAATGTTTATTAGTTTTAGAACCTTAGGCAAATGACTTAAGTCACTTCTATTTCCTTATTTATAACAGTGAATTTCAGTTTTCTGATTGTTACTAGTGAGGCTGTTTCCTACCATTAAGGATTTGTGTCTAAAAATAAAGGCAGGTATCACATCGCTTGTTACAGAGTGGACATACATGCTGACTGTAAGTTAATTTCAGTTTGAAATAATTATGATTTGAGTGCTTACTCACACCAACATTTTGTTAAGGTTTATTCGGAATACAAAAGTAAGACTTTCCCCTTATGGAATTCAGTCAGGAAGAAAGGACCATGCATAGAGCTAAGTAGTGATTCAGAATAAATAGAGATGATGTGTTTTAAAGTCTATAGAGTCTGTTATTATAGTAAAATCTCAGTAAATGTTAGCCATTGCTTTTTGGCACTCTAATTTCTATATGTAATTGAAGGTAACTAGAGATAAAGGTGAAAAGACAAAAGTGGACAGTTAGAAATTAGTTATTTTCTTCTTACACTAAATGCTGAATTTTTTTTTTTTAAAGCAAGACTTCAATGAATTTTCATCTATCATATTTTTAAAATTATGGGTAGAGAGACTTTGGTGGTAAATGAACGATTTGATCAGTTACATATAGGACAGGATGTCATCTCTGAAATATATTATGTGCATATATGCACGTGTGTGTGGTTTTCATAATTGAAATAGAAACCAAATTTGTTATAGTTTGATCTTTTCCTTTTTACAGTGTCTTAGTGTGTGAAGTTATAGAGACAGGTGTACGTGAGAGAGATGGGAACTAGATATGGAGAGAACAATGACAAAATTTAAAATGGATAGGATTGAGTCATTGGTACTCATAGGTAGTGTGTATATACTATTACCAGAATGATGTAGTGGTTAGAGTTTTGGTTCTGAAATCAGTCCACCTGAGTTTAAACTCTGGTGTTTCCAGTTACTGGTCAGGCAACCTCAAACAGGATGTTATCTCTCTGAGTCATTTTCTTCATCTATAAAATTGAGTTAATAATTGTGCCTGCTGATAGAGTTTAGTTGATGGTTAATTGATATATAGAATATAGTATTTAGCACAATGGCTGGCCCACAGATTAGTAACTAATGCTATTGATAATTAAGTGCTCTGAGACTACATCTACTAGTATCTACCAGAATCCAGATAGATTGTCCTACATCTAAAATTGACCACTTTTCATAATTCTTCGAATAACTTGCCAGCAAGATTTTAAGCAAAATAAAATTTTGGTGGTACTTCTCCTATTTCAGTTCCATAAGCATAAGTAGATTGAATAGGATAATGGAAAACAGAGGTTTTTCACTAAATTCAGAAATGAAATACTTTATGAACCACTGACAATGAATTAAATAGCACATTAGTTCTATCACTTTCCTCTTTGATCAGTTATTGTCCTAGGATAAGTGATTTGAACTGAAGTGTGCTTAAAAAGCAAAACCAATTTCTATTTGAGAAAATAGAAATTAAAAAGGATAGTTTAGAAATGGTTTTTTTCTCCTTGAAAATATAGTGACAGTTCAAACTTTATTAAGAGAATATCAACATTTCAGTGTCAGTACTTGATGAAATTATATAGAATGCAGTTAAAACTACTGGAATTTTTTTTTAAATACTTGAGTTTTCAAAGGAAACAATTTATAGTAAATATAATTTTGCTGATAGTGAATTTAGTGAAAGAAATTTTCTTTTGAATGATATGCTATAAATATTAGAAATGGTTTATAGTAAATATTTCAGATTTGCGAAAAGGGTTTATTTGGAATTATTGTTTAAGCAGCATTTTAAATTTGGTTATTTTCTGTATTGAGCCACATATATGACTATTATACTAAAGACAGATTCTTAAAATGCATAGATTATAAGGTTATAATTCAAAGAAATAGTCTGTTTTCAATAATAATTACTTATTAGGCAGTTACTTTGATCTGGGACTTTAATAAGTATTCAAAATACATTATTTAATTTTGTTTCTATCACCCATACATATGGTGCTATAATACTACATTTTATTTACAGTCATTTCAAATAATATGAAATGAGTTCCTTGCGTTATAACCTTTAGCGTCTTTGTTATACAAAGATTGTGCTTAAATATTATGTGGGATAATTGATTGCAAAATTTTTCTGATTTGGGGATATTTAAATATGTGTTTTCTTTTTCCATTAGCCTAAGAATCTTAGGCATTACACTGATTGATAATTGTTTCTTTTGTTGCAGAACTATAAGAGTAAATGGGTCCAATAATTGGAATGACTCCAGAAAAGAGAGCTGAAACTCCAGGAGCTGAAAAGTTTGCAGGATTAAGCCAGATTTACAAAATGGGAAGCTTGCCTGAAGCTGTTGATGCTGCCAGGCCAAAGGCCACTCTAGTGGACAGTGAGCCAGCAGATGATGAACTCACAAACTTGAACTGGCTTCATGAAAGTACTAATCTTCTAACAAACTTCAGCTTCGGAAGTGAGGGTCTTCCAATTGTTAGTCCCTTATATGACATAGAGGGAGATGATGTGCCATCCTTAGGACCATCTTGCTACCAGAACCCAGAAAAAATATCAGCAACTTCAAAGCCCCCATACTCCTTTAGTCTTCTGATTTATATGGCTATAGAACACTCTACAAATAAATGTTTGCCTGTCAAAGAAATTTATAGCTGGATTCTGGACCGCTTCCCATATTTTGCTACTGCACCAACAGGCTGGAAGAATTCTGTTCGAAATAATCTGTCCCTGAATAAATGTTTTCAGAAAGTGGAAAGAAGCCATGGCAAGGTCAGTGTTTATGAATATTGCTATATTTGGGGAAGTAGGGGAGAGTTAATTAACATGGAGACCTTAAAATATGGAGAAATCAAAGGAAGAAATAGCCAAGTCAGATTACTTCAGCTTGAGCGTAATTATATTCATTTGCTTTCATTTGAAATGTTTTTAAATTTCTGAAATATTGATATAAATCTAGCAGTCTACTGTAAATACATAAATTAGTTTTCTTAATGTTCCAACTTTGTATTAATTTCTATAGTGCTCCTGTCCTTTTATCAATATATTATTTTTATTTAATTTGACAACCTCTGCCTTATAATTGGAATGTAGACTATTTACATTAATTGATATGGTTAGATTTAAATTTGTTACCATGCTATTTGTTTTCTCTTTGCTCTGTTTTTTCCTTTTCCCCACTTGTCCTACCTTCTTTTAGGTGGAGTAATTTTTTATGATTCAATTTTATCTCTATTATTGGCTTATTAGCTATTACTTTTTTTTAGTGGTTACTATAAATTTTTCAATGTATATCTTTATAACAGTCTACCTTCAGATACTATTACACCATTTCATTTAGTTGACTAATTCTGATGTCCTATCTGGATCGATTCCTTTTTCTTGGAGGAGTTTATATAGTTCAGGTCTGCTAGCAATGAAATTTTTTTAAACCTTTTTGTAGAGGAGGGATATAGAACTTTAAGTCGACAGGTTTTTTTTCTAAGTACAGTAGTCCCCTCTTATCTGTTGGGGCATATGTTCTAAGACCCCCAGTTGATGCCTGAAACTGGATAGTATGGAACCCTATATACACATACCCATACACACATTTTTCCTATACATGCAAATTATGATACAGTTTAATTTATAAATTAGTCACAGTAAGAGATTAACAATAATAAATGGTAATATTATAGAATAATTAAATAATATATTGTAATAAAAGTTATGTGAATATGATCTCTTTTCTCTCTCAAAATATAGTACTGTACTTACCCTTCTGCTGTGATGATGCGAGATGATGAAATGTCTACGTTATGAGATAAAGTGAGGTGAATGATATAGGCATTGTGACTTAGCATTAGGCTACTACTGACCTTCTGAGATACATCAGAAGGAAAATCATCTGCTTTGGTGATCCTGGATCATTGAGCCATGACAACATTGATGGTTGGATCTCAAGATCAGATGATGTCAGTGGTTGGGAAAACTTAATATTTTCGGACCACAGTTGGCTAAGAGTAACTGAAACCATGGAAAGCAAAACCACAGATAAGAGGGAACTACTTTACTTTAAAGATGCTCTCTTGCCTTTGGGCTCGCATAGTTTCTAATGAGAAGTAGGCTGCCATTTTTATCTTTGTTTCTCTGTAATGCTTCATTTTTTACTGTCTTCAAGATTTTTCTCTTTATCACATTTTTCCGGCAGTTTGACTGTGATGCACCTAGGTGTATTTTTATTTTTATCCTGTCTAGGTTTTTCAGAGGTTCTTGGATCTATGGTTTGTTTTCTTATTAAATTTAGAACATTTTTGCTCATTATCTCCTCAAATATATTTTGTGGTTGACTTCCTACTTCTGGAACTCCAAGTAAAAATATGTTAGACTATTGCAGAAATGTTGCAAAAATCAGACCAGTGAGAAACCAACCACCACTTGGAGAGTTGGAGAACTCAGATTTATTATGCCGGCGGTCCCAGAACAGCTAGCGCCCTGAAGATCTGGGCCTTGAGCTCAGGAGCAACTTTGCTTTTATAGGACTTTGGCATGGGCCGATTGGTTAGTTTGTCCTCAGACGGTTACAGAGCACGGGAGTTGCTATGGGTTGCAAGCAGTTACATTTGTTATTTAGACAGAACAAGCAAAAGGGAGGATGAGTCTTTACTTAATTTCGAGGTCACCCTGCCCTACGGCCTATGCGGCAGCATATCTATAGAAGCAGAACAAAGAGCAGATTATAAGGTTAGTCTTTTGAGTGAAAATTCCTCTTCAAGACTACTTGCTATTGTCTCACCTCTTCGTTGCTCTGCCCCTCTTCCTATTTTATTCCTTTGTTTCAGTTTGGATAATTTCTATTGATCTTTCTACAGGTTCTTTCCTCTATTATGTTCATTCTGCTAATAAGCCTGATAAAAGACTTCTTTACATTTTTTTATTTCTAGCATTTGCATTTGCCTTTTAAAAAATAGTCTCTCTCTGCTAAAATTTCCCACTAGATCTAAAAACATATTAATCATAGTTATATTATCTGATATTTTCAATATCTGATCTATCTCTGGGTCTGATTTTTGATGATTATTTTACCTCCTGTTTTTGTATGTGTTTTATAATTTTGAATTGAATGTCAGTTGTAAAAGAATGGTAGAGACTGAGATAAGTAATATTTCTACCCTGAAATAGACATGCCTCTACTTCTGTCAGGTTGTTAGTGTGAGCAGGTATTGGTCAATCTAGTTAATAATTGTACTGGGATTGGGTTTTGTGGTTGTCATAGTTACCTTTAGTGTACCACAGGCTTCAAATTCCTACAGAGGTGGACTACTGATACTTTGTGCTTCGTGTGAGGACTAGAGCATCAGATAATTTTTCTCAGCATTTCTACTTTATCTTCATTTCTCAGCTTGTGCCACACTTGGGAGCAGGGAGGGAGTTTGGACATTTCTCTCTATGCTCTTGCCCCTCCCATAGCAATAGATTGTTATTGCTTATTTCTTGTTGTAAGGCTTTCAGTGTGTAGCGTGGTTTTCCTAGTTCTTCTGGTCATGTTTTAGTCTTAAGCAGATTCTATATGCCTATGCCTCAGTAGTGGGTCTTTTTAGGAGCGGACAATCTCTCCCATCTACTTGGAGTGGAATCTAGAGTTGCACTCATTAATAACCAGTTAGCTATCTAAATGTGGCTAGTGGTTGGCATATCGGACAGCACAGATGTAGGATATTTCTGACGTTGTAGAAAGTCGTATTGGACAGTGCTGTTCCATAGCTCAGGCCAATTTCCTGCTCATTCCTGTCACGGTAGGTAAACTCTGGCTAATATCAGTGGGAGGTCTTGGGTACAAGTGAGTGACCATTTTCTTTCTCAGTGGCAGCAGATTTCTGCTTTGTATCTTCAGAGGATCTGGGCATGAGTAGATTTTCTGCCCAACTAATGACACCTGGCACATTGCCTAGTGTCAGTGAAGTGTGAAGATAACTTAGTTTTGCACTTCTCTCCTGGCAGCAGCCAATCCTTTGCCTGGGACTGAGGTGGGTAGAGTATCTGTCCTATAGCAATACCTGATCTCACCTTATGCTCATCAAGGCCTGGAGCATAGGTGAACTTTGCCTGATATCTTTGCTCCAGCCACAAACCTTGGTAGATTCTGGATATCTATCTTCATCTCCATCGGTGTCTCTTTTAGGTCTCCTGCCCTGCTTACAATGTTCCTCTGGAGCACTGATAGAGACCCAAGGGAAAATACTGGCTAGTGGATGCAGACTTTCTGTCTAGAGTGTCAAGGAGGCTAAATTATCTTGCTAGTTCACACTTGGCTTTTAAGAATTTATTAAATTTTGAGTAGATTTTTTTTTTTTTACCTTCTTTTGTGACTGCCATTTCTTCCATGCTCTGCCACAGGTAAAACAGTTCATATATTCCATCTCTCCTCACAGGACCCTGTCTCACTTTAGAATTCATTTCTTTCCATTGCCTTGCAGCCTTAGCTCTCAGATAAGCTCACAAAAAAATTATGATTTTGCACATCATTTTACTTTTTTCTTGTTAGGCTAGGAGTGATGTTCTCTTATGGCTTTCTGTACCCTAAGTGGTAGCAGAAGTCTCCTATTCTTATTTGGAATAAAAGTTAAAAGAGTAAATCATTATATTTTTAGGTGACTGAAGGATTTTCTAGGATTGTGCTATTCAATCTTGAATGTACTGATCACCTGGGGAGTCTTATTAAAATGTGGATTATGAATTCAACAAACCCAAGATGGAGACTAAGGCTCTCATTTCTAACAGGTTCCCAGGTGATCCTGATTCCATGGACACACCCTGACTAGCAAGACATCAGGACACATCATCATCTTATAGTTAACTTAGAGGAGGTTGTATTAGTTACCTATTACTATATAACAAACTGTTACGTTACACATTCTGTGCTATACATAGAGTATGTACGAAGTTTGAATATGTACTGGGCCATTTAAAAAGCCTCAGGAATTTCAAAGGATTAATCTCTGTTATAGTCAGCTCAAAGATGGCCCCCAAATAAGTTCTGCCTTTCATATTCATGCCTTTGTAGAGTCTCCTCCAATGCCGACTTACATAACAAAGAGGATTTTGTGAAAATGATGGAGCGTGCCTTTTGAGGCTAGGTCATAAAAACATGGCTTCCATCTTGAACCCTTAAATAACTTGTTATATTGGAAGCCAGCTCCTATATCCTAAAGACACTTAAGTTGCCCTGTGGAGAGGTCCATGTTGTATGGAAATGAGGCCTCCTACCGATAGCCATGTGAATGAGCCATCTTAGAAGCAGATTCCCCCGCCCCAGTCTAACTTTCCTTTCAGATGACTGATAATGTTGGAAATATTAGATAGATCCTTTCCAACGTGCATCATGAGATTTTATTTTTTAATTATGTCATTTAATTATTTTCTAGTGTATATTTACACATGATGGGAAATAAAAGATGAACTGTCTACTAGGTATTTAGAAATATGGTACATAAATAGTAATGATATTGTGGGATGAAAGCTCTAAATGTGGAATTCAGCACTGATTTTTCAGTATAAGAATCTAGGAAAAGAAGGGTATAATGAAAACCAAGAAAGGTGAGTTTAAGTTTGAATGAGTAATAGTGTCAAATGTTGCAGAAAACTTGAAAATGATTGGCTAAGATGAAGTCATTGAGACAAATAGCAGCCAAAATATTAGGATTCAAAATATATAAGCAGTGGTGTGCTGGTAAATGTTAAAGAATTGAGTGGGGATAGAGATTTATCTTTTGCAGATTTCCAAGGTATGAACA